AGTAGGCATCTCATTACAATGATCCAATCCCAGGTTATATTCAGTGTATTTATATTATAGTCTTTCTTTTACTGAGACACTAGCAATAAAAAGGCATTGAATTTGCATTGACGTCCGCATGTAGAATATATATTATGTCAACATAATTCTGTATTCAGAATTTTACTTTACTTTTTACTTTTTTATTGCTAGAAATTACTTACAGCAATAATTGTGTTTATGTAATGTATTTCATTAATGTATAAGTTATGTACGTGTTTGAATTCAGTAAACTTAATGCATTACCTTTTTTTACTGATACAACATTACTTTAGAGGAACGTCTTAACATCTAGCAGAATAACTGTGCATTGCTTAGAATGTGTCTGTCATAATATTTTAGGATGTTTTAGGCAATATTTTAAGAACAAGAGTAGCCAATTGCAGCTTTTCTGCAGAAATCTACACTGCAACTGCGTAAGACAAAAATAATATTTACTATAAAGTTCAATTCACCAACAGTGAAATCTGAATGAAAATTTCAAACAACTGAATGGATCTCAGATAGACTTATTTAACGTTCAGTGATCTTGGAGGTTGTTCATCACTTATACTCCTACCTATGTTTTTATTTCTCCTCTCTTCTAAAAAAAAAAAAAACACTTTCAGGGTTTATGTGTGCCGTGTAGAAGATAAAAAAATTATGAATTTTCCTTTTATCTTGCCAGGTAATTTATTAAAACAATGGAACATAGAAAATTACTGTTCAAAATCTGTTAACAGGTTTAAACAGACATTTTTTGCTGCGCTCTATTACTCCTCAAATCCCTGCACCAATATAAATACTCCATTAATATACAAATAAACATGAGCACACACACACATACGGATATATATGTATATGTATATATATATATATATATATATATATATATAAAAATATATATATATATATATCATTAAGAGAAAATGTTTACTTACTTTTTCTGAGTCCAGCAGATTTGTTGGTTTCTCTGGCAATAGTACTAGATGGAATTTGTTTAAAATTAATGATTTCCTTAAAACGCACAGCTCTAAAACTTCATGCGACTGTACTCTGTCTAGCTTTGCTTCTCTCTGAGGCCTCAGTATATATGCTTCTTTCATTCAGTGTTTAGCCTAGCGAAGAGGGAAGGAGGGACGGAGGGAGGGAGAGAGATTGTTAAGAATGCAGCATTGCACGCAGATGGGAGGGTTGAGAGACAGAAGAGAGGCAAAGTAAGAGATTCTCAGAGCAGTGTTAAGTACTTGGCGCAGGTGTGTCTAACAAGAAAACCCCATTCCTCTTGCTTTCGCTCTCTCTCTCTCTCTCTCTCTCTCTTTCTCTCTCTCTCTCTCTCTCTCTCTCTCTAGCTCTCTCTCTGTCTATTCTGTCTTTTTCTCTCTATCTACCCCTACCTTAATCCTACCTCTGTCCCAGACCATTTTCCACTCCTCCCCTCTCTTTTTTTTGCTTCATCATGCTCCCTGTGGCACCCCAGCACAACCCAGCTCTTCCATCCTCTCCTTTGCCTTTACCTATACCTTTACTTTTTGTCTTCCGTCATATTCTGATCTGTGTGCCGATGGCTGTCCTTTTCTCCATAGAAAGACAGTAATCCATGTTTGTAAAATCTATGAATTCCATCCATACAAGCTGAAGTGTTTCTTGAATTCAAAGTCTTGTTTTTTCCTTCTTTTTGTTCTTGGAAAAGCCCGTAAAGTATTCAGTGTTCGCAAGTCCCTTTGCTTGGGCTCTTTCCTCAACTCACTCCGCAAACTCTTTCACTCACAGCTGCCTAGTTGTTTCTCCACCTCCTTCTGTGGTTCTCACTTAGTCTGTTCTGTCCATCTCTCCTCCCTCTAATCCACCTCTCCCTTTCTTTCACCTTCTCACTCCCCCTCTTCTCTCTCTCTCACCCCTTCACATTCTTTCTCCTTCTTGCTTTCTCTCCCTGTCTGTCTCCCCAGCTATTCCATACCCTTCATCTGTGGAAGTCTTTATATGGCAGATTACTTTACAAATGTTCCTGTGCTACTCAAGCTGCCTCTTCTCTCTCTCCCTGTCTCTCTCTCTCTCTCTCTCTCTCTCTCTCTCTCTCTCTCTCTCTCTCTCTCTCTCTTTAGTTGCTGTGATATGATATACCAAGGTCATAATGCCACAGGCTGGAGATGTGTGTGCATGTACATGTACTTTATGGCATGCTTTCATTCTGAATTGACAACAGATTTTTTTAAATGAAACCACATTTTCACAATCTGGATGTGTGTTTGTCTATGACAAGTTTCCCCCAATAGTATGCACTACATACACCAAAAAGTAGCTTGCTAAGTTTTGTTCATAGTGGTCCATCACCACATATGCATGTACCTGACAGAACTGGGCTATAGACATGGAACACAGCAAGCTCCTATACATACACATCATAATAGCAAAAAAATGATCATGCCCATTATGTTTCTCCATATTAACCACCCTCTCTCCTCCGTATCACTGCCATGTGCAGTCTAAGTTATGCTGCGCTGTCATCTCTGCATCGTTGCACACTCAGCATAGCTGAATGGAGTCTCTGGAGGGTTTTAGCTCATGTATAGCAGCTGCAGTCTAACCTTAATGAGTCCTGTGTTCAGGGACTGCACTGCACTTCAGTCCACCCCACAGCTGTTCTGTGATCTGAGTGTAAGGGTCTCTGGACCACTGCCATCGATTAAATAAATAAATAAATAAATAAATAAGTAGATCCCTCTGACCTTGAAGCGCATAATAATAGTTCATCCAGACCAAATCCAAAAAGGACTGACTAGCCCTAGTACAGTGCAGAAGTCAGAGACCTCTAATAATATATTTAATTTCCAGTAAAATGGCCATTAAATATGTGGGGTTTTTTTTTTTGTTTCAGGAAAATAGAGCAGAACACATAGTTTTAACAGAAAATTACACCACAGTCTCGACAAAAAATTCACATTTTTCAGAATATAGTATTTTGTGTGATTTTGTGTGACATTCAGCAATGTTGCGGTCTGGGCTTTAGGATGTCCAGTCCATTGTTCTGAGAACACCAGCAGCTTCTTTTTTGATTTGCAAGGTTTCTTCAAGCCCACAGTGCTATAGTACATATATAGTACACATACTCTAGCCAGTGTATTCATAGTACAAACATTTTTACTGATAATTTGGTAATAAAGATTACTGTCTGATAAGACTAATAAAATAATTAATTATTTTTAGAATTTGTCCATTATGTTATTTCAGGGTTTTTGTGAGAGTTGCAGAAGGCTTCCAGGCCAATTAGAGCTCTACATTAGTTCTTTGATACAATATGTTGGTATGACCTTAACTGTAATGCTTCCCTTTGAAAAAGCATGTCAGTTGTATCATGGGGGGTTTACATGCATTCCATCAAGATCACCTTGCATTGCAGCAGCCAGATGGTGCCCCCAGAGGTCTGGCAGAGCCTTCCTTCAGCCCTGGGAAAGGAGAACATGACACCTCCACCTGCTTTCTGCATAGCTCTTAATCATCCCGGTCGAGAGTGAAAGAACAGTGTGTCTGTGGAATAGAACACAGCTGCTTAGGACACTGAGCAGCAGGTACTATCCTGACAAAAATATTTGCATTAAGCCTCATATATGCATTTGATCAGAATGAGCATCACTTTATTTCATCAAGTTTGTCAAAAGAAAAAAGAGAAAAGTGTTCACACATACTGAAAAGACCAGACAAGCACACAGATTATTAATAGGTATTTTACTAAGGCATAAATAAAATAAATATATATCAAATAAAAATAAAGAATAATAAAGATCCAGTGTGCAAGGAGCTAAATGTTGTTTAGACAAATCCAGATGTGAATATCTATATATATGCAGGTCTGAGGAGCCATTACACATTATTATATACAGAATATTACAGAATTACATAAACTTGTCTAAAAGTGTAACAAAAAATTAAACGAAAAAGCTGTTGTCTGGTTGTGCTGGTTTTGATGGCCCTGAATCTTCTACCAGAAAGGAGTGGCCAGGAGAAGTGATGTCCAGGATCATAGGGGTCCACTGTAATTTTGCCAGCAAGCCTCACTGGGACTATAGCAGAGAAAGTCTGCATTCAAATCTGCAGTAGAATTCATTCAGGTTGTTTGTGAGTTGACGGTCATTCAGGAGAACAGGAGTTTTTTCTCACCTTGTAGTTGGTGAAGTATTTTCCAAACTGAAGTTAGATCGTTACCAGCAATAGCTAGCACATCGATCTGATATGATGTTCTGCATCAGGAGAAGGAGTGGGCAAAGACAAATACTAAATCAGCGTTTAGTCACAGCTTGCTTGAGACATCCATACATTAAATCATTGTAAGGACGTAATTTATTTATGCCCACATCTCCATTCAATCAAATAGAGTACTGTGTCAGCCTCCTTACAGGAACATCAAATGCAATTGCTTATAGAGTCAACATAAAGTCAGTGTGTGAACATCCCTTATTCTAATTATTTTTTTGATTGTTCAAACAAACTGTACTTGAATGACTCTCTAATAGCTCTGCAAAAAATAACACGTTGGTCATCCCAACGTCGCAGATTAAGTACAGAGGCAGACAGTTAAATGACAGAAAATTCAATACTAAAGAAATCTATAATAATGTTTATAACATGCGATATTCTCACTGGAACCCGGTTCTAGTCCTCTGAGTCCTTGCTGCCGGATCTAGCCTGCGTTGCAGAAAACCAGTTGATCTAAAACTGTCAGCAGTGAAAATGGCCATGTTTGAGTTAGAGAAAGAAGAGTGATTCTAAGTTTTGCACTACTGGCATGGACTATGACATGACACAAGCCCCTGGTGTATAGCTTTCTGAGCAAGAGCATTTATGATCCTATATGTGATAAGGCGAAAAGACCCCGCCCCCCACCCCCATGTGTCTGCAGTACTGTTCATGCTTTTCTGCATCAGGCTACGCAAATACATGCTTTCTCCACCGGCTCTGTCTACCAATCACACACATCCAGGCACACAGAAGAACAACAGTCATACATAGAAGACCGTCTCTCACTGAGCGTAGCACTGCGCTGTGCGGTTTACACGTCCCTATGAATGAAGGCAGTCTCTGTCCTTTCTGCTGTCTCTCCGCATCCTAACTATTTCAGCAGATCAACATCAACCCTCCACTGCCGGTGAGTGCGAGCCAGTAATTTGCAGAGGAAAGCAGTCTGTATACTGTCTCTCTGTCTCTCTCTCCTTTCTCAATCTGATATTTACATAGAGGCACATACACAGCCTTACTCTTCTCTCTCACACACTCTCTTACTGTCTTTTTCTCCTCTCTCTTTCTCCTCCTTCTTCCTCTCTCTTTTATTCTCTGTTGTGCTCTCTCTATCTCTCTCTCTCTCTCTCTCTCAACGAAGGAGAGAGAGGAGGGAGACTTATCTGGCTGAAAAGTCCACGCTTGCTCCCTCCTCCCTTTTTCTTCCTTTGCTCCTCTGTCCCACCTCATTTCTCACTCCCCCTCCTTTCCACCATCCCACCCCAGAGCCCCCAGCTTCAACTCAGACAGACACACACACCGGAGGAGCCAGGACGGGGCAGGCAGACAGGGGAAACGTGTAGACTGTCTAGCGGACATGGATTCACGTGGAAATAGTGGATCATTCTTGCACAGGTGGACGCGATCTGGCGATGCAGTGCACGCTGGCTTGGTTGTCACACTTCTGATTGGTAAGTCGACCGGCTTAAATTCTATCGACATTGCAGTCTTCTCTCTGTGCCCCCCACCCCGGCTGTGTTACATTATGCGCTTCGTTTTCCTATTCTCCTCTGCACTGAGGTCCGTGCCAGAATGCAGCGGTTTCTGCACTGCTTGCAAAAACGCAGAATGCACTCTAGCTGGAAGGACGTGCTTATTTACTTGTTGCTTCGGGAGGTCGATTTGGTTACAGGGCTCAGGTCTCCCACCATATGTGGTGAGGGTGTAGAGGGTAGCGCAGGCTAACTATCAGCTCACCGGACCCAGAGAGAGAGAGAGATTGAGGACAGTGTCTGAAGTGCAAGTCACTGCTGTCAGTACCTGGACAAGCTGTGTGTGTACCAATTAACTTATGAAGAAAACACTGCAGTATAACACTGACTTATAACCTTTTAGGGTAAATATTCACCTTAACTTGTATGTGAAATTGTAAACATTTTGTCACATTTCTGTTCATGTCAGTCATTTACGTGACAAGCATTCAAGGCTAAGTTCTGACATTTATGTGTCTTCCACAGCATTATCACCAGCTAAATTAAATATATCACACTAGTACAGACAACAGATTCAAATGGTGCAGGAGATAATAGTCCACTGGTGATATTACTTCAGAAAGCATCTGTGCAACTGTAGAATTCCTGTAGGAGCGAGTTAATATACATATTAAGTATATACAGATCATACTTATGTAACTAACACTAATAATATATAATGATATATTATTTTACTAGTCACTATCATAGTATTGCTTAAGCTCTAAAATTGGTAGTTAACTTATGTTTTTGCGAAAATTCACCTCCACACAGTATTGCATGCTTACCTCTTTTCTATCTGTTATTTATCAATGTTACACTGTTATATGTATGCCAGTATTGTCCAGTATTACACTGTTACTTCTAGAAATAACAAACTTCAATATATATTTTATATATATATATATATATATATATATATATATATACATATACATATATATATATATATATATATATTGCATATAAATACATTGTTCTCCACTATTAATTATATCACAGGTATGATGTTTTATCCACCATGAAATAGCAACCAGTGGAAGCTAAATTGTCTTTTACTGCTGAAAGGTTGTGCATGATTGGGCCCTTAGCACACTTTTTGGGGTGGTATTTGCATTCAGGAGTACAAGCAGGCAGTCACACTGAAATTTCAGCAAAGCACTGCAGCAATTCATCTCAGACTGGTGTAAATCATCAGCACTGTACTGTGTTTGTAGGGACACCACCATTACACATGCAAAAACTCAAACAAAACACATGAGCACACACATACACTTGCACATACTCAGGCACATATTGCTGTCCCACCCTTCACTTACTGTCAAGGTGAACTGAAAGTAGGACATCGTTTTTCTCTTTTCATGGCCTGGAGCCAAAGGGTTAATGTACATGCTCTGATGAAAATCCCAGTGGACACTGTGAAGAGTGATATATGGTGATGTGTTCAGGCATATCATATGGGCCAGGGGAAGGATCACACTTAACAGTACAATGCCCTTTTTGCAATGATACTAACGATAGTATATGAGCCTGAGTTTAAATTCTGAAGGATGTCCGGTGTCCGGTTGAATATCTGAATACAGTGAATACTAAGGTGATAAGAACCTGCCCCTCTCTCTCTCTCTCTCTCTCTATGTATATATAAAGGGGCTCCTTTGTCGTATTTTTCATTTCAGAATGCGCCAAATGTGGTGACAGGTCTGGACCTCAGGCAGGCCAGTTTAGCACACGGACTCTTTTAAGACGAAACAATACTGCTGTAATTCATGCAGAATGTAGTTTGACATTTTCTTGCTGAAATAAGCAAATACTTCCCTGAAAAAGACATCATTTGGGTGGCAGCATATGTTGCCAAAACATGTATATCTTGTTCAGCATTAATAATGCCTTCACAGATGTGCACGTCACCCATGCCATGTACACTAATGCATCCCTATACCATCATGAATATTGAACTGTGCACTGATAGCAAGCTGAGTGGTCTTTAGCCCGGAGGATGCAGTGTCCATGATTTTGAAAAAGAATTTGAAATGTTGATTCGTCTGACCACAGGACACTTCTCCACTTCCCTGTCCATTTTAAATGAGCCCAGGCTCAGAGAAGGCAGCAGCGTTTCTGGATTCTGTTTATATTTGGTTGATTCTTTGCGTTTAGTCATTTCTACTGCAGAATCATGTCTATTTTTAGTGCTGTGCCACCTGAGAGCCCAAACATCACAGCCAGCAAACACTGGTTTTTGGCCTTGTCCTTTGCCTACAAAGATATCTCCGGATTGTCTAAATCTTTTAATGATATTTTGTTCCATAGATGATGAAATCCCCAAGTTCTTTGCTATTTCACATTTAGAAATGTTATTCTTGAATTGTTGCACTATTTAATTGTGCAATCTTTCACAGAGTGGTGAACCCCTCCTCCTCTTTACTTCTGAAAGACTCAGCCTCTCTGGGACGCTCTTTTTATACCCAGTCATGTTACTGACCCGTTGCCAATTAACCAGCGGGTGTTTTTTTTTAGCATTACACAACTTTACCAGCCTTTTGTTGTTGCAACTTTTTATATATATATATATATATATATAATTTATTTATTTATATTTGTATATTTTGTTGTTTATATATATATTATCCGCTTATTCTCCTGGGTCGCAGGGGATGCTGGTTGGCAGTGGGCAAAATACTTTGAGAAAGTAGTGAATACAAGTAGTCATGGCTGAATATTAGAATATGAATACACTGTCCTAAAAGCTAAAAGTCTTTAGTATAGGTGCAGCAATTACATTCTGCTGAATGCGAATCTGAAGAGAGACTGTATGTTTCCTGCGATTGGCCATGGTTTAGCACCTTCAGCGCAAACCCAAGATCACGCCCCCAGTGTTTCAGAGTAGACAGTACTGCTTATTTTTCCATGATCTTAAAACCTATTTTTTGTACTTGGTGATTTTTTAATCTAATCAAATTTGGCTGTATGCTTGATAACACATTTTTTGTGGTGTGACTAACTCAGAACACATTTATTTCTGCTTTACACAGACTTTAAATGTGGCACTGTCATAGAATGCCACCACCTCTGCCACAAATCAGTCTGTGAAATTTCTGCCCTGCTAGATCAACTGTAATTCATATTATTGTGAAGTGGAAGCATCTAGGAGCACCAGCAGCTTAGCCGCAAAGCAGTAGACCACACAAACTCACACCAAGTGCTGAAACACAGAGCACATAAGAATTGCTTATTACACTTACTACATAGCTCCAAATTGCCTCTGGAAATAACATCAGGACAATAACTATGAGTTGCAGCTGCAAACAAGCGTAGGATCACTACACACAATGCCAAGCAACGTCTGGGGTAAAGCAGGCTGCCACTGGACTCTGGAGCAATGAAAATGTGTTCTGTAGAGTGATAAATCACACTTCACTGTCTGGCAGTCTGATGGATACATCTAGATGCCAGGAGAGCACTACCTACTGGAATGTGTAGCGCCAACACTAAAGTTTGGTTTAGGAGTGATAATGGTCTGGGGCTGTTTTTCAGGGTTTAGGCTTGGCCCTTTAGTTCTAGTGAAGGGTAAGGTTAATGCTACAGCATACAAATATATTTTAGACATTTTAGACTTTGTACACAATTGCAAAAAAATAATTTCTTGTATGCTATGTATATAATATCTCAAAATAATTATTAAAAATTATTTCAAAATAATAAAGCATGTGTGACCAGAAAGAAGAACAAGAAGAAGAAGGAGAGGAAGAATCCAGGCAAGGTCTTATGTGAAAACATTCCTACTGACACTTATGATGCACAAATTTAATTGTTATATCAGAGAATACCTGGGTTACTCTCTTTAAAATCACCAACCACCAACAGACTTTAATGAACAAAGTAATGAGAAGAAAAGAGAATTATTGGTCACTATTTATAAACAGAAAGCACATATGTGGGCAATGAATGCATTATGTGTGAAGTGTTGGAGGGGTGTATCACTTCTAGTGTCACCAGTCTCTCACACCCCAGAGAGATTAGGGTTCTGAAGAACTCATACCTCTGTGTTGGCATTCTGCCACTGTGTGTGAGCTTAGCCTGAACACTGAATACTGATGTCTTCACATCAGTGGCGAATCATGACTATTAAAGCTAGGCAGTCAGTTTGGGAGAGTTGGAAAAGTTGAAGGTAAAAGAGGAAGAGTACAACTAGCAACAAGACACAATCAGAGGAATAATGAACTAGCCATTCAGCCATTCTGGCTTATTCTCCTTGGGAATTTCAAGAATTTAACCCTTTTGCTTCCAATATTGAACAATACATTTTTTTACTTGTAGAGTTTAAATGCAAAAACATGTTGACCATCATAAATAAAAATGAATGATAAAATACATACAGTCTTATGCAAAAGTTTTTAACACCCTAGTCAAATGTTGATTTAGTTGATTTTCTAAGTAAAGTTAACGCAACAAACTTAATGTGGCATTTTTCTCTACATTTTTTAGAGTTTAACATATTACATACATACATACATACATCATCTAAACCGCTTATCCTTCTGGGTCGCGGTGGGGTGCTGGAGCCTATCCCAGCTGTTATTGGGCGGAAGGCAGGATACACCCTGGACAGGTCGCCAGTCCATCGCAGGGCAGTTTAACATATTGAAAAAATATAAAATAAAAAAAAAAAACTAAAATATAAAATGTTCTATTACTTTTGCACAGTCCACATCTTATGTTTTTTTCTTATGTGTTAAATTCAACAAAGAAAAATAAACATTTAAAAAAGTGTATGTTAAAATTTACAGAAGTATGTTCTCGGAGTATATATCAACATATTTTCAATTAGAAAATCAACAAAATATGGGCACCAGTGGCGCCAAAATGTTTGCATACGATTGTACGCAATTTTTGTGCCTTCTTTGGAGGCCTAGAAGGCCCTAAGGGGGTTCCCTACTGCTTTA